TCACGCTGGCTGCTGGCTACACGCGGTAGCCCATGGCAACCCACTGCAGCAGGGGCTGCAGCCCACGCCGTCCCCAGTGACTCTTGGCAGCCCAGCTCCAGGTTGAGCTGTTATTCAGCATCTTAGCTGTGGAGGGCAGTGTCACTGGCCCTCATATGTGGGATCCGAACCAGGGCCCTCTGGTGTCCCAAGTCAGTTCTTAACCATCACGCCACTCGGCCGGCCCGAAGGCTTCACTTTTATTTCCTCAGGCCCTCAGGGAAGGGGCAGGAGGGTAGTGTGGGGAGGAAGACAGGGGACCCGATAGGGAGAGCCAGGACCCACTGACATCACCCCAAGAGGGACTCAGAGCCCCAAATGCTCTCATCCATTTGCCCTAGAAGCTGTTTCTTGGGGAGCAGGAGCACCCATCAGGGTAAAGCGCCCTATGGTCTAGACCCAAGTGGGAATTAACACACAGGACAGTGGCTAGGCCTCCCCAGAAGCCCAGGTGGGGTTCGGGGACCTGTATTCTGAACAAGGGACAGGATGGGGGACGGAGGGTAAGTGACAGCACAGATGGAGAAGGAGAGAATCAGGGCGGCCGAGGGAGCCTGTGCCCCAAGGGAGGCACCCTGGGGCCTGAGGGGGGCTGACCGGCCACAAGCCCTTCTGGGTGTGGCCGTCACTGTCACCCAGGGGTGGGGGAGAAGCCCTTTGCCAGCACCTAGCAGGCCCAGTTGCCATCGTCGGCGGTTAGATTCCCCCTAACAGTCCCTCAGAATGAACCACAGATCACCCTGTGATCCGAGTGGGGCCAGCTTTGCCTATGGCCCGCGGAGCCGTGAATGGCCGCTTCTCCGCTAGCCCGACCAGCGGGCAGACCGTTCTGGGTCCCGCCGCCGGGCCTGTCCTGGCTCCTAGGGAAAATTTGATGTGTGTCTCCTCCTGCCCTACAGACCCGTGAGCAGCTCCACGCAGAAGCGCAGCGGGCACAGGCAAGGATAGAGGACCTGGAGAAGGCCCTGGCCGAGCAGGGGCGGGTGAGTGCTGCGGGCAGCACGGGCCACGTGGGGTCTGACAGGGGCAGGCCTGTCCCCGCCCGCTCACTCTCCAGGACCCTCCAAGAAAATGGGTCAAGTCATAGGTTGTCACCAGCTGTGTGCATGACACAAACTGTCGCTAGGCGGTTCGCTCAGAGGCTGTGTGTCGAGTCCCTTTGCTGAACCTTGACTTGAACGCTGGCTTTGGGACTCGATTCCACAGTGTACTGATTTCTGCATTTCATTCCATTTTCAAGGATATGAAGTGGATTGAAGAGAAGCAAGCACTGTATCGGAGAAACCAAGAACTGGTAGAAAAGGTGCGGCCAGCCCTTGTCCCGGAGCCTGGCTGGTTCCCAGCAGAGCGGGAACCCCCCACCCGTCTCACAGGCCAAGTACCCCGCCCCCTGGAGCCGTCAGCCCCCACCAGAGCCATCAGTCCCACCCAGGGCCATCAGCTTCCCCCCCACACTGAGCCATCAGTCCCCCCTTTCCCCCCCAGCCATCAGCCCGCCCCCCACCGGAGGCCATGCTCTGGGTGCTGTCACGTCTTGAGTGGTGAGTGACACTTACATGCTCCTGTGGACCTGCCACACATCGTAATGAGCTGTCCCTGTGGTACTCACGTGCACATGCAAACACGCATGTGTGTCCAGAAATGCACATAATCACATGCAAACACGCCTGTGCACACACAACTCACGTGCACACATGAACAACACTCTTGTGTGCACACAAACACTCCTGAGACCCCCCATTAGCTGAGGGGTAGCACTCACCCAGGCTCATGGGGGGACCCACACGGACCCATGTGGAGTGAGGGCTCTGGCCGGGCACCCAGGCTGGTCACTGTTCCCACTGACAGCCGGCAGCTGCTGAGAAAGTCAGGGGGTTGGCCTCGCGTGACGCCAGTGTGTCGTCCATCTCCTATTTTACAGATTAAACAAATGGAGACGGAAGAGGCTCGGTTAAAACACGAGGTCCAGGATGGGAAAGACCAAAACGAGCTGCTGGAATTCCGCATCCTGGAGCTGGAGGTACACCGCGGGCAGGATGCCAGGCGTGAGAGGAGGGGTGAGGGTGGTCGCCGCAGAGCTGCTGTGATCCAGGCCCCGTCACTTGGCCCTTCCTGACGGACACAAACCTTTGCACACGACCCCAAAAGTCCGGTTGGAAAGGGCGCATCTCTGTATGAGGGTGCCATGCAGTGACCAGATGCACTTCTCCTGGGCTCTCCTGTCCCGGCCCTCGCCCTCTGCTGTGCCCTCGGCCTCCTGCAGGGGTGGGGGGCTGAGGCAAGGCTCCCTCAGGAAGGGTCCAACAGAGCACACTCGGCCTCATGGCTGCGCTCACCTTCCACTGGCCACTCTCCCCTGAGAGGGTGGCTGGGACGTATGGTCCACCTCTGAGGCCGGAAGGCAGTGACTCGGGCTGGTGTCCACCCTACTGGACCCTCGCTCACAGCTTCAGGGCTCCCACTTTGGTCCTGGCAACCTTCAGGACACCTGGCAACAAGGAGGTCATGACCCTCACTGGCAGAATGACTGTCCTTTTGTCACCAGCTCTGCTCGGTGATTCTCTGCTCCCGAATTTCCACCTGTCTTGTTTCCTGGGGTCCCTGCCTACCTGAGGTGTGGGGCATGGGGTCCCCACTTGCCCACTGAGGAAGTGGGTAGAGTCCAGATGGGGCTGCGCTCAGGGTCCTCCATCCACCTCCCTGGGTGGCAGGAAGGTTGTGAGGCCGCCCCTGTGTGTGGCCGTCCCCCATGGTGGACAAGCAAGCTGTCCCGAAGGCCATCTGGGCTGGGAGCTCCAGTTCCTGTCGGCGTTGGTACAGGGGCCGACTTCTGGGGCAAGTCCAACAAGGTTTGGGCCGCTGCCTCTGTGGTCGGGGCTTCATTTTCACAAACAGCGTGGTGAGCACATTCGGTGGCCTCTGTGGCTTTCCCGTGTCCCCTGGGCCGCCCCCAGCACAGGCTCCGTGGACGGAAGTGAGGGGAGGGACTGCCGCTGGGGCCCAGCCTTGCTCTCTGTCTAGGAGAGGGAGAGGAAGTCGCCTGCCATCAACTTCCACCACATCCCCTTCGTGGACGGCAAGAGCCCCCTCCAGGCGTACTGCGAGGCGGAAGGCGTGACGGTAACCCCTGCCCCGACTGTGCCCCGACTGTGCCCACGCCCGCCCCTGCCCGGCTGGCGCTTACCTCCTGCGTGTCCCTCGTCTCTTTGCCTCCAGGACATCCTGGTCACAGAGCTGATGAAGAAGCTGGACATCTTGGGGGACAACGCCGTAAGTGTATGTTGCTCTCCTGACTTGTGCATGCCTCTTCATGCTGACCGCCCCGAGGCCCCAGCCCTCCGTGGTCCAGGGGCCCCTGTGAGTCCCGCTGCTGTCCTGCCATAGGCCGCCCCGCCCCGGCTGCACCCTCCTGTGGCCAGAGCTGCTTGAGGCCGTCCCCTGGATTTGGGAGAAATTTTGTTCCTGTTTCAAGTTGTTCCTGTGTCCATGTGGGTGGGGACCAGCACTCAGAAACATGAGGGGTGGGGGGCTCTGCTCTGCTAGGGTGGGAAGTGTCTGCCGTGCACACCCTGTTCCTTAGCAGACACACTTGGGTCACGTGTTCTCAGTGTCTGCAGCTCCTCTCACCCATCCATCCTCCCGCTCAGCCTTTAACTCCTCCACGCCCTCAGGGGGATGGGGCTGCAGCTCCGTGGGGCACCTTAGACACTCCAGACTCTTGGGGTTCTCACGTCCTTGGTTTTGGAGAAAGGGCAGAGCCCATAAATAACCCCTAAATCTTATTTAAGGCCGAGTTCCAAACTCCTCAAAGGAACCCTAATTACTGAGTGAAAAAGTGACTGCACCCCGCATTCCCCTTCATCCTCTGTCCATCCATCCATCCTCCATCCTCCATCCTCCCCGCTCCAGCCGGCACCTGCTGAGTCCCCTGCCCAATGAGGGGTACAGGTGCACCGGATGGCAGCCCCCTCCACAGCTCAGAACTTCCCCCCGCCAAGGGGTCCTAACAAGCACATGGTCTGCAGCTGTCCTGAGGCAACTTGGGCTCCCCGTCCTGGTCACTGCTCTCAAGAAAGAGCGAAGCCCTTTGTCAAATTAGTGCACTTCACACAGTAGGAGGAGACGGAACATGAAACAAATGCACACACCGCCCCCCGCTAGGTACTCGGCCGCCGGGCCATTTTCCTTGGAAGCAGGAGGGATGGGGGCATCCAGCCCCACACCCAAGCTGGGGTGCGGTGTGCCCCACAGACAGCCTGCCTCTGTACCTACAGCAGCCACTGGCCCCACCCGTGCTGCCTCCAGGGGTAGCTGGTGAGAGACCCCGGCTCTTAGGGGCTCCCACAGCAGAGAAAGCGCCAGGGACGCGGCCCTCCAGTCAGATACTGTGGACCGGCCTGAAAAGGGAAGTTGTGGGGTGTCGGGGCGCCCTCCAGCTCAGTGGTCCTGGCAGGCTCCTCCCTGCTCCAGTGTCTGCCCTCCATGCCCTACCTGTCCCTTCCTGGCTGTCCCACAAGTGGGGCCTGGCAGTGGGGACAGCCCAGCTCCGGCCCTGGCACTGATAAAAGTGACAGCTGGGGTTTGAGAGTCACCCCCTGGGAGGGCCCACCCAGTCGGGCTCCTTGGACGAGATAGGAATAAAACATGCAGAAAATAAAAAGGCAAGAACGTCAGGCGTGGGGACCATGTCACAGGTGTGAATATTTTACCTTTGCTCCACATTTGTAAGAGCCAATGCAGGGCTGCACAGACAGAGAGCTGACTTTAAACAACGATGGGGACAGGGACAGAGACGGGGGTGCATATATCGCTGCCCACCTGTCCAATTCCGCCTCGGTGGGCTAAATGGGCCATCATGGTGACCAGCAGTGAGAGGACGAGAGGACAGCGGAGAGCGTGCACCCCAGGGCGCACAGGGTCAAGGGGAGAGGGTGTCAGACTCCTGGGAGGGCGTCTGAGTGACAGCGTCCTTAGCTGCCGCCCCGCCCCCCGACCCTGCATCTGTCACCTTCTCACCCATCATTCATCCCAGCTGCCCGGAAGGCCCCGCCCCTGACTATATGTGTATTCTGCTTTCGGCCGCAGAATCTGACCAATGAGGAGCAAGTGGTCGTCATACAAGCCAGGACAGTTCTGACCTTAGCTGAAAAGGTAACAGTGAGTGTGTGTGTGGGCGCTCCTGGGAGCGGGTTGGCTCCCTACAGCTGTCCCTCTTCTGCTCGGCTCAGAGAAAAGGCTCTTCCTGGGATGAGGGACATGAGGGAGGTCGGGGCGGGGGGCGGGGGGGCGCTGATCCTAGCTCCCTTTGGAGGTCTGCCACACGCTCCGGTTGAACAGCACCCACCATGCATGTCTGCAAATGACAGATTTAGCCAGACCTTGGCCCAATACCAGCTCTGCCTCAGTTTCCCCCCCACAGGCCGGGAGATGTGGAGGGTCTGTAAAACCATCCGTGTCCTGTTTGACCTGATAGGACCCTCCCCTGGGAGCTGCCCAGCACACCTGGGCATCTTACCCACAGGCTTCCCTGCTCCCAGGGCCACCAGCCTGCTCCTGATCCCACACCACAGCCAGTGCACCCTAGGCTGCTGTCAGCAACCCCTCCTACAGGCCTCCAACAGGAAGGGGTGTTCCAGCAAATAGAGGTTCAGGGGCCAGGACTGGGGGAGAACAGGCCCCCCCTTCATCTCCTGGCAGAGCTCGTAGATGCATGTGTTCCTGCGGCCCCAGGGGAAGTGCTGGGGGACAGGCTCCCAGGAGACCAGGCAGGGCGTGGACTGGGGCTTGGACCCTACCTCACGCAGGGCACATAGAGCTCACCGTGCCAGCTGAGCCCCCCAACCCCCAGTGAGGGGGAGCGCTCCCCTCCCAGAGGAAGAGTGGGGAGGACAGCCAGGCAGCCTGCCTCCCTCTGCCCCAGGATGTCTCCAGGGAGCGTGGGAGGCAGGATGGCTCTGGTCCCTGTGTGGCGACCTGAGGGTCACCATGACCTGCTCTTTCTGTTTGTGTCCAGTGGCTACAGCAGATCGAAGAGACGGAATCGGCCCTGCAGCGGAAGATGGTTGACCTGGAGAGCGAGAAGGTCAGTGGGCGTCTCGCCACGAGGCCGGCAGCCTGGCGTCACCAGGTGGGACACCCAAGGCTGAGACACAGGTCCTCTTGTGTTTCAGGATCTGTTCAGTAAACAGAAGGGCTACCTGGATGAGGAGCTGGACTACCGGAAGCAGGCCCTGGACCAGGCTCACAAGGTAAGAGAAATATGGCTGCCGAGCCCCCAGACGGGGACACTGAGGGTGAAATGGGAGGCTGTCCCCACGTCCAGCGGTGAGTCTCAGGCCTCAGACCCCTGACCCGGAAGAGCCCGGGCCTGGTGTGACCGTGTGGGGTCACTGTCTGCACCTGTCCCTCTGGAGCCCGTTGCTCAGCGAGTTCCGAGGGTGCCTTGCTGCCGTCATCAACCCGTCACCCCATGAATGCAGGCACACCTTTGAAAGGAGTTGGTAAGAAAGATTTCATTGAAAAATGGTGCATTTGGGAGTCTGGACACAGACTGGACACGGTTGAATGTAAGTCACATTATTGTCCCGCGGGTTCCTGTTCTGTTCCCTCCCCCATCTTCAAGACGTCACATCCGCCTGCCCGTGGGAAAAGCATCTCCCCACCGAGGAACGTGCCCACACTTCCTTTCTGGCAATGAGTTACTCCTGTACATTAATCTCACCTTGCTGGACAGTCCTGGGCTGTGTGTGCCACTGCCTCCCCCTAGACTGCGAATCCTTAAAGTCAGAGGGTGTCACACGCTAGTTCAGGAAACACTGTCTGGGGGCCAGGTGAGGTGGCCTGAGGACTGGCTAAAAGCAAGTGTGGGGTTGGAACTCGCTAGTGACTCAGCCCCTCAGGGTGAATAGAGGCATGAGTTCCTGTCCGAGTTGAGAGAATAAAGGGCCAGCTTCGCATGTGGAGAAGGTCACCAACATCCCCTTACCAGGGTCCTGGGAAGCCCTTGTGATGGTAACACTAAGCCCCACACTCAGCTGTGTTTATTTTAGAAGCTAGAGTTTCCCTTAACTGCACTAAGCTCTTCTGCCCTAAGAAGGGGCAGTTGATGTGGAGAATGAGCTTGTTGTGACAGCTGGGGACAGTTTATTTTGTGACTGTTAAGGACAATATAAGTGAAGTCCGAAAGTTTTTTTTCTTCATTTCCTAAAATGTCTACTAAGCCCAAAGGAGTTTTCATAATTATTTTGCTTAAAGAAAAAGGAACATTCATTTCGGAAGATGCTACAGTTTTGATGGGAAGGCAGGCTTCTGAAGTTTGAGAATTTGTTTTTTTCAAAGATTGTATCAGTAAAATGTGCAGAGGAGAAAGCTCTGAAAGTACTCCGGGTTGATCATTAGGAATTTGTAGCAGGTGTGCACTTGGCCCCTGAGTTATAGCAGGAATCACTTTGTGTTGATTTGTGGCGGTTTCAGTCTTGGTCATGATCTGGAAGGCAGGAGAGGGGTGAGCTGCACGCCCTGCTCAGCTCTTTCCTTGTCACCGTGTCCCCACCCACGTCCCACTCAGTTCACAGCTGAGTCCTTCCCCCACCCTCAGCCTCACGCATCAGCCCTGACCGGCGGCCCCAGGTGGGGGCCTGGCTGCCGCTCGTCCTGGTCAGCACCTCTGTCTTTTCGTGAGGGGGTCTGTGGGCTCCAGGCCTGGTCCCTGAGACTCTTGGTGACTACGGTGGCCCTGCACAGTCGCCCCTCTCCCCAGTCTGTGGGGAAGCCATCCACCAGCCAAGGCCTGTGCAGAGCTGGCCAGAGCTCCAGAGTGTTGTCGGTGCCAGCGAGGTGAGCTGGTGGACCTGGGTGACCTCGGGGCCAAGTCCTGCCTCCTCAAGGATGCTGTGACTCCTCAGGGCAGGGTACACCCTGTGTCTGTGCCTCAGTCCTGGGGTGGCACTCAGTGGCTCTCCCACTTGATATGGGGCGGGGCTTGAATGATCTTTTGGGGTACATGATTCACCTCACCACAGGCAGCATTGATCACACAGGTGCCCGGCCTCGGCTAGGGACCGGCTGGCAGTCAAGGGCTTGCCCCTTCTGTCCTTACTTCACACAGACACTCTCTGCGCTGCCCTCTCCTTCCTTGGGACTCAGAAACCCGGGTCTGGTGCGGGCTGTGAGCAAAGGGAGAACCTTCGCCGGCTGTCCCTTCCTCGGGGGCCGCCTGCCCTTCGGGGCTCTCACCCCTCTCTGGCCTCACCTATCTGCTTTCCCAGATGCTAACGTGATGTGAGAAGCCTGTCGCTGACGTTTCATTGCACGTTAGAAACTCTGCAGGCGGGAACGGTTTGGGCATTACTGCTGGACTGTGTCCATTCTGCAGGACATTTGAGCTGGCCCAGGAGAAAACTGCCCTCTGGGGAGTGGCTGGGAGATGTGACCCAAAGGATGGGTGCCCGGCCCCGCTGGGCGAGGCCTAACCTCTCCCCTCCCGCCAGCACATCCTGGAGCTGGAGGCCATGCTGTACGACGCCCTGCAGCAGGAGGCCGGGGCCAAGGTGGCTGAGATACTGTCGGAGGAGGAGCGCGAGAAGCTCAAGGTGGCCGTGGAGCAGTGGAAGCGCCAGGTCATGAGCGAGCTGCGCGAGCGGGATGCCCAGATCCTGAGGGAGCGCATGGAGCTGCTGCAGCTGGCACAGCAGGTGCGGGGCAGGGCGGGGCAGAGGCAGGACTTGGTGCCTGGAGGCAGAGCAGGGTCCGTGAGGCCAGGTTTCCCAGGGCTGTGCCCTTCAATAGCCACACCCAATGACCACACCCTCCCAGGGCCATGACCACGTGGGTCCCCCTGCCAGGCTGGCTGCCCCTCCAGACCAGCCTCCTGGGCCATACAGTCCAGGTCTCTGGGTGCACCTCCCCTCTGGGCCCCTGACTGCCACGACTCCCCCTCAGGGGTAAGGGTGTGATGAAGGTGCCATCTGGGGAGCAGCAGCCCATGGCTGGGAGCAGCCCCTGGTCTTCTCACTCTGTTTCTAACTGGAGGTGAGGGACCATGGACAGCCAGGTGCAGAAGACACGCCTCCACTGCCCTGTGTGTCCCGCGTGGCCTGGAATGTGTTCCCTGTTCAGAACCCCCCGAATGCAAAAAGCTTAACTTGCAAAGTCGGAGAAACTAGCAAGCCAAGGATCACTGTGAATGTCAGGGGGCTCATGTCTGACCAGAACGCAGGCAGCTGCCAGGACAGTGACTGACAGGTCCGGAGGGGGGGGTTCAGTGTGAGGACGGTAACCTGCACCCCTCCCCCCAATCACACGGGCTGTGGTCAGTGCTTCGGGGCCCAGGACGGGAACCCAGGTCCAGCACAGACACGTAGATCTGCATCTAAGTGTGTACTTGGCACCATATGCCAAAGTAAAAGCCCAGCTTCCAAACGGGACGTTGCCCTGGCGAGGACTTTGTGACCCTCTGGCTGCTCTGCACTCTGCTGTAAGGGCGCTTGGGAGGGAAGTAACTCAGTTCCTTCCCTTGGGCTTCTAGCGTCATGGTTTAGGGTCTGCAGTTGCAGGAGGCAGGACACGTGGCTGAGGGGAGGCCGTCCTCTCTCTTGGTGGAGCGAAGCAGCGAAAGGCTGCGTCTGAGAGGGGTCAGGGCGAGCAGACCTGCTCCTCTCCTGGACGTCACGGAGAGAATGGACCCAGGCTCCAGGCCCTCCCAGCACAGACGAGATGTGAAGGCAGGGCCTCATTTGCACGGCCATCTGGCCGGGGTCCGGCGGCAGCTGCTCTGTGACGATTTGTGCCCCCGGTACATGAGTGAAGTCTTGAAAGGCTTTTTCCCACTTGGTTTCCCAAGTGTCCTGATTATTGAAGATTTCCCTCCGTTTAACATTGCAGAGAATTAAAGAGTTAGAAGAAAGAATAGAAGCTCAGAAGAGACAAATAAAGGAACTGGAGGAAAAGGTAAAATAAGTGTCAGTTTCGGGGCTTGCTTTGTTACTGGGCGTCATAAAGAGGGAACAGCCGACAACTCAGATGGGGCGTCACTAAGCGCTGGGTCTGAGGTTCAGGGCACACTTGCACAGAGAGAAGTTTCAGGGCCGTCGCTGCTCTGGACCAGGAGCCAGGGGCCCGGGTCTGGGACCCCTCTGCCATGACCCGGCCGTGTGACCTCAGGGGGCCATGTCTCTCACGACCTCAGTGTCCCAACAGTAGCAGTGAATGCGGGACCAACGGCCCAGGCTCCCGGTACTGCTGACATCCAGGCTAAATAAAGCATTTAACTTTTCCACGTTCACCAAGCACATTGGTCTAAGAATCAAGTTCCTTCGAGACTGGATTCCCCACATCAAATCAGGCTGTCTGTCCAGTGCGAGTCCTTATTTCTAGTCCTTAACGCAGTTACTTCCAGGTTTAGGAACCTCAAGTGCTGGCATGCAGTTAGTTTGGGGCCTCGTGACGGGGGGCCTGGGGCAGACGGTGCGGCTGTTTCCCTGGACCCCTGGCCCGTGAGGCGTGGGGTCAGGGGTGCTCTGCCCACTCAGGTTGATAGTCTGCCTTGCCGCTCTCCAAACCCCGGTGCTTAGAGCATGCCGGAGGGAGCCTGGCTCTTCTGTGGGGTTCTCATAGTTTCGGGGTGGTTCTTTCCCTGTGGTTTAGGGATGTTTCAGTGACCTCTAGTGGTCAGACTGTTGAGTCAGTCCTTGTGGTTGGTCCTGCCTGTGGGCGGATCTCATGGAGTGACCAGCTCCCCGCTGAGCACTGAGGGAAGCGGCCAGTGAGACCCTCCTCCCTGGCCTGTCCTTTCTGGGGAGAGCAGGAGGCTGGTGTTGGACAGGGACCTACCCCCACCCCCATGGGCTGCACGTCCTTGACCGTGAGGAAGAGCCGGCGGAGGTCTGTGCTCGGAGGGAGAGGGTCCCCTCCCGATGGCAGGCCTCCTGCAGCTGGTCCTCCCCGGCCCCGCCCGCCCTACTGTCAGTGACAAAACCTGCCCCTTCCTGGGCACGTTACTGCCCAGGGATGTGGCCTGTACTCTATCACCTGTGATGGAGCAGAGACCAATGTTGTCGGAAGTGCCGCCGGTACATGCCCGGCTCCCACGGCACTCGCATCATTACTATTAGCCACTGAGTGCTCTGGTGACAGGTCCAGGTGGCCAGTCCCGCCCCACAGAGGAGGAAGCTGAGCCCCCAAGCAGTGAGATGACCAGCAGAGGCTCGTGCCGGACACGTGGTCTCCCGACAGCCCTGCCCTCTGGATGGTACAAGGTGCCCCAGAGTGTGTCTCTAGGTGGTGGCAGCACCGTCACTCAGACCCAGGGCATCCCCACAGCCCCTGAGGCACGATCCTTAACCCACTGGACACAGGCACGCCAGGAATCGCTGCTGTCCCCCCGCTGACCGCTCTGTCTTGTTCTGCCTGTGAGCACATGTTTCTTGCCAGAAGCACTACAAACTCTTTTTTCTCTTTCTTTCCCTCCATGTCTCCACCCTCCCCTTTCCTTTTCAGTTTCTATTTTTGTTCTTATTTTTCTCCTTAGCTTTCATTTTGTGGTCATAGCTTGCCTGGGCACCCCGGCCTGGTGAGTATTTCATCGGCTACAGTTTTCAGGCGAGAGTCCCACTCGTCTCCTGGGACCCCTGCCCCATTCGACAAGCGGGAGGGGCTACAGGAAGCCACCGCCAGGGCTCCCGAGAATGTGACAAGGCCACAGCAACCCTCAGGACGCTCCGCCCCACCCCAGGGTCAGGATTCAGAGGGTCTGCCATCGTCAGGGTCACAGGGGCGCTTGCCTTGCCTGAGCGGGAAGGAGAACAGGGAGCCCTTCCCTGGGACCACCCCGTGGGAGATGCTCGGGCTCCAGACGCCTTCTGTTTCCGGCTCTGTGTTTTTCGGCTCTGGGAGTCGTGGCAGAAAGCGGTGCTGGCCGAACGTGGTTGGCGCGCCCTTCTGTCCTTTTTCTGGGGGTCGAGTACAAGCCTGTTGTGCTGAGATGTGGCCCTGACCCTGGGCTCGTTTGTGGCGTTACCCCACCAGGCTGAGCTGTGGCGCAGTCTCGCGGCTTTCAGACCAAGGCCACATGTGAACGCCTGACCACTGCTTCCTTCTGAAACACGAGAGGACAAGTAGGGGGGGCCTCGTCGGTTCCCTTCTTCAGAGGGTGCACTGAGAGGGCCCGTCCCCTGGAAGCAGGGGTCCTTCCCTGCGCCCTCATCCCTGCAGACCCCCCTCTCACTGAGCTGCCGCCTGATGTGTTCTGCATCTCTGTCCTTCCAGCCCCCAGAGGAGCCGGACCCTATTCCTCCAGCTGGACCGGAGAGCAGCGGGTGCCCAGGTGACAAAACAAGGTGCCTGGTGTCATCCCTGAAGACCCGAGAGGGTGTGGTGTCTACGGACCCCTCCCAGCAAGGAGAGGGGGGAGAGGTCTCCCACTCCTCTGAGCCAGCCACTGGCCACTCTGATGGGCCAGGATTGGAGCTGGTTTCAAGGCTGGGCCCCTCTGGAAGAGGCCTGGTCTTGGCTGCTGAACCCTGGGGTCCCTCCGCGGGATGCAGCCTCCTAATCCTGGTTCCAGAGATGTGTCAATCCCTTGCTACACAGAAGCAGAGAGCGCTTCTGGGCAGGGGTGTGTCCCGAGTCCTGCACACTCACCCCTCCTGGCTCCCACAGTCGCTGCTCCAGGGTGTCTGAGAAAGAGTCTCAGAAAACGCAGGCACCCCACAAAATGACAGAATGCAGGCTGTGGCCGCATGGTGACCTGCATTCAGGGAGACCAGGACAGTTCGTGGGGACATCTGAGGACCGTTTCCTGTGACACCGCAGGTGGCTATGGTGATGCTGTGACTCACTCCCCGGGTCCAAGCACTTACTGATGGACTCAGCACGATGCCCTCTCTTGTTTATGATGCTGTCACTCCGTGGGTGCCGATGGGAGTGTAGCTGCCGCACTGCACTGTGCCATCACCCTGCTGCCTCCTTACCCAGCCCGAGATACGAAGGCTGAAGTCCTGCCCTGAGCCTCGGCCGGGGAGCCTGGCTGGGCTGACCAAAGGGAGGACTGAGCAGCATGGTGACGGGAGATAGGACGAGATGGGACGGCCCACTGGGAAGGATAGAGGCCGCCTCTGAGCACAGCCCAGACCCTGTGACGGCCCTGGGTGTGTTGCCACCCAGCTCGGAGGCCCATGGGTGGCAGGAAGCCGGGCATGGCCAAAGCTGCCCTATGAAAACTCTGCCCTTCACGCTCAAGGGACTGCGCTGAGGTGACGGGCAGCAGTGTACCCGCAGATGAAGAAGGGAGCCTGATGCCCACGTGGAGAGCAGGTAAGATGCTGCCGTCCATCCGTGGGGACAGCTGTCCCCTCCCACCCGGTCTGGGCCTCTGGGGCCCTGACCTAACTCTGGTCTGCTTGATCCCACCTCGCCTGATTCTGCTCAGTCCTCTGTGGCCCCGTTCGAATGTGGGTCAGTGTGCACCCCAAGTGTCTCTACAGGCGGGCAGGGCGGGGTGGGAAGGCTCTCTGCCCATCACCGCGTCTGGACCCGGTGTGCCCCCGAGGGCATCCGTGCGGGTCCCTCACTGCCTCCATGTGCGGACCCTGCTGTGGGCCTGCTCAGCCCAGACCCAGGACGCCCTGGACGCCAGCCAGGGCACCACGCACGTGCCCGGGGACCAGCTCTGAGCTCCAGGGGCAGCCTTGGCTCCTCTCAGGAGTGAAGAGCTTTTCAGAGGTGTTGGCTGTTTCTGCCAACCTGGGCTCCAGCCTCCATTGAGCCAGCCTGCCCGCCCACCCCCGTCTCGCTGCCCCCAGACACTGCAAAACCAGAAAGCCGCCTGCCTTGTCTTGTGGTGCCATCTTTCTTTCTAACGCTGACTCCCAGCTCCAGGCACGGCCATGGGCTCGCTGAGCGTCTGGGAACACATGGCCGGCCTCACCTCTTCTCCCTGCCCCGAGGGCTGGGAGGCAGCGTGAAGAGGCTCCCTGGGGACCCCAGTGGTTGACCCCAGGGCAGGAAAACAGGGGTGTGGGGTGAGGTAAGGCTCTGGTGCAGGTGAGCCAGAGTTCCCAGCCTGTAGGTGGCAACGTAGGTCTGCCTTTTTCTGTCCCTTCCAATAGGGTGTGTCAGAGTGATATTTTGGTTCTAATTTGCATTTCTCATGACTAATTATGTTGGGCATCGTTTTCTGTGTGTTGACTTTCCATCCATATATCTTCGTGGGTGAAGTGTCTGTTCAAATCATTTGCTCATTTTTGAATTAGATTGTTCGTTTTCTTGCTATTGAGTTTTCAGACTTCTTAATATATTTCAGACACACGCTTAGATCAGATATATAATTCAAAAGTGTTTCCCCCAAGTCACCCTTTTCTTTTTGTTCTTTTAGGAGTGTCTTTTGAACAGAAGTTCTTAATTTTGATGAACCCTAATTTATTAACTTTTTTAAATGGCTTGTGTGTTTGGTGTTAGACCTAAGAAAACCGCCTGACTCAAAGTCAGGATATTTCCTGCCATGTTTCCTCCTAGAATCACATGGCCTTACGTCCCACAGTTACATCCATGATCCACCCTGACTTAATTTTTTCCCGTGGCTGTCCATTCCTTGTTCCATCCCCATTTTTCATTAAAACCCCTTCTGCTTGGCTGGACCACGGCCCGCTCTGTGGTCAGCCTGGAGTGTCCCCCTGGACCCCGCGTCACCAGACACTGCACAGCAGGGGGCAGCCTGCAGCTTGCTGGCATCCTCCAGCTTGCCTGGTCCCCACTGCATCCTGGGGGGTAGGGCTGCGTCCCGAGGGACCCTGCCTGCCCAGCTCTGGTGGAGTCTGGCAGCTCAAGATGTGGGAGATGAACTGTCATCAGAGCAGATTTACAGGTCCTGGTGGAGCAGGCAGTGAATGCCAGGCAGCAGCCCCGCGCCTCCCAAGCCTGGTCGCGATCACTCACGTGGGCTGCAGCCCAGGTGGCCAGAAAGAATGGCTGTGCTATCACCTCTGAGGTCCGGGGACATGCTGCTCTCATGCAGAATGCACCACAGGTAATGAGCACTGTGAGGAACAGGAGCCCGCACCTTAAATATACCTATGACACCCTGCATCATAACCCAGTGAAATTTTCTTCTTAATTTGTGTATAAGGAGGAACAAAAGATGAGATGTTTATATCTCCTCATAGATGGTTTGCCCAAGTGTGAACAGCTCGCTCTTTGAGGCTGTTCGTCCTGGGCGGGGCTGAGCTCAGGGGAGAGTTCTCCTCAGGGTCTGCCTGTCCATCTTGGGAGTGGGGGGATGCCCGTTGAGGTGGGGGCACTGAAGGGGCCCTGCCCCAGGGCAGAGGCCTGTCAGGCGGCTTCATCAGCCTGTTCTCCAGCCCCAAGTAGAAATGAGGTCGATGCGTGTTTGATGGCAGGCAGCGGGCCGGGCAGCGTCCCACTGCGTGGAGCTCTGGTGGTCACACTGTGTGTGCATTCCAGGTTTAGCTGGCTTGCAAGGTCACTGCTGGCCTGTGCGGTCACTCGTGGCTCCTGCCCTGCCCTGCCCCTGCCCCTCAGAGGTCCTCGGCAGAGTTCTCTTTGTCTTATGTTCTTTACACACAGAACTGCATTTGTCCTGATACTGGCTCGGCCGCCACTGGTCTGCCTGGGAGTGGCCCACCTGGTCTTGGTCTTCATGACACCTGTGGGTCCAGCCACACAGCCCCGTCTGCCCTCCCCCAAGAGCTCACTGCCATCCCAGGCCTGGGCCAGTGCCCTGTGTCGAGCTGTGTGGCAGATGCGGTGTTTCTAAAAGGCACATGGTCTAATGTTTTCAGTCTTTACGAGAAGAGGCGTCATGCTCTGCACGCCTCAGACTCTCCCGTCTCCTCAGTGTCACTGTGCTGAGAGCCGCCTGCACTGTGGCGCATGTGTGTCTGCCTGTCAGCGTTTCGCCTTGCTCCCTCTGTCAGATGTTTGAGTTTGCTCTTGGGAATGGTCTTCTGGAACGTTCTCACAGGCCTGTGAGTGTGTCGCGTCACAGCTTCCGGGCGCCTCCCTGGGCCTCGGAGCCTGGGTTGTGCAGAAGCCTGGGCAGGCAAGTCCCGGCCTAGAGATGTTGCCCAAGCTTCCCCAGTTCCTGTCAGGTTGGAGCCCTCTAGTTTTGCTCTAGGTTTGGAATCCTTCTGTTTTCACCTTATGGCAAAGGTTTTCCGCAAATGTTACTGGGAGGTTTGCACGCCATCTCAGACAGAGATTGAGTAGCTGGCGTGAAGCCGAGGGTTCCCCTCCCCCCTTTTATTGCTCTGTTGTCTAGTCTTTCCGGCTGCAGCTCACCGCCTGCAGCCAGCTGTCTAGTGATCTGAAATGTAGCCATCTTGGTTAAAGCAATAATGGATCTTTATACGAGAGTGACCAGGAGGCCATTAATAAGGAAAGCCATTATCAGAGAAGTCAGTGTCACAGGAGAGAGCTGGACACCCCTGTCTAGGGCTGTGAGAGCTGCTGCCTGCAACACAGGAAACAAAACCAGGAAGCAGTGGAGATTAGGCAGTGTGTGCACGGGTGTGCAAGTGCACACGCACCTGTGCTCTGTGTGTGTGTGTGTGTGTGTGTGTGTGTGTGTGCGCGCGCCCCTGTGCATTATCTGTGTGCCTGTGCTTTTGTGTGGTCAGGTAGAGGCCCTGGAGCCTGGGCAGTGGACTGTGTATCCACACCGGCCAGAGGGACTGTCCAGGTACAGTGGGCCCAGTGCATGTATGACAACAAGGTGTCCTTCTCTCCAGGGCTGAGCTGTCTTCTAAATACCCTCTGGCTGTTACCTAGAGGACATGCTCCTGACCCTGGTAACTGCTGGGCGGATGTGGGCTTGATGGGGTTCCACATGCTCAGGTGGTTGGAGGGCGAGGAATGCACTCGGCGCCAGCCTCAGCCCTGCACCGGGAACACCCGCCCGCCCCACCTCTGGAATTGCCCCCCACCCCACCCTGACCCATCACTGGAATGGTCCTCCTGGAAACCAGGGCCAGGGCTGATGTGGGGCCAAGGCAACTCAGGACAGGCACCCTGATACCTGGTGAGCTGGGTGAGCTCGGGGAGGGGCGGTCAAGGCCAGAGGACACACCATCAGTGTCCCCAGGCCCTGGGGAGGGTGTGGGCTGAGTCCTGGTATAGACTGCCTCACACGAGATCAAGCCTCAGGCCTCTAACTTCCAAACTACTAGGAGAAGAAGCAAGTAAACAGACTGCTATGCTCTATAGTCGTTTTCTATAAAATGACCATTAATGGAAGAAGTTTTTGGAGGCCCAGGAACACATTTCATAGAAATGTCTCTCACACTGGGCTGAACCTAACGCGGAGCGGGTGTTAACCAGAGACCCAGCCCAGCCCAGGGCCCCTGGTCCCAGAATCTGCATTCCTGACGGGCCCGCGGGTGCTGGGACTGCTCTGAGGACGGCAGGGTTTCCAGCGGGGAGGGCCCCCCACAAGTGCTTTCAATCTCTCCTCAGCCTGGGGTTGTCAGGGGACTCCTTGGTGTCTTGGCTAAAATGTCATGGCTTTTCTCTGTTTGAATTTTCTTAAAGTCAGTTCTGAGATGCCCTGAGATTTCTACCCCTTCCAAGCCCCTTGCCAACCCGCAGTCTCCGCCACATGGCTTCTGTCCACGTGCATCTGTGTGACACCCATAGCAGGCACTTGGCAGCGGCGTGCTTGCAAGTCGTTTTGGAGTCAGGCAGGCCTGGCGTCGGGTCCTGCCTCTGCCCTCTCTTAGTCACGCAGCCATGGCAGGTGATATGACCTATGTCTACCTTGGCCTCCTGTCCTAAAAAGGGGTCACCTCCTTGAGGGGTGGGAGGCCACTCAGGTAATGCATTTTATTAGTCAAGGTTCTCCAGAGAAGCAGAACCAATAGGGTGTGTATCTGAAGCTACATCTGTATCTGATCTCTATCTAATTCTATAACTGTATCTACCTACCTACCTACCTACCTGGAGAGGGAATTGTAATAAGTTGACTGACGCAACCTTGGAAGCTGAGAAGTCCAAAGCTCTTCAGTCAGCAAGCCGGAGGCCCGGGGGAGCCGAGTCCAGGCCGAGTCCAGAGGCCTGCAAACCAGGAAGCTGATGGTATAGATTTCTGTTTGAAAGCCACAGGCTGGAGACCCAGGAAGAGCCCATGTTTCAGTCCAAATGTGAGGGCGGGAGAAGCCCAGCGCCGCAGGCCAGGGGTCAGGCAGTAAGCTTTCCCTGCTATTCTGCCTTTTGTACTAGCCAGACCCTCCACGGATCGGGCGAGGCCCTCCACCGCTGGGGAGGGCATCTGCCTTACTCAGTCTACTGCTTCCGATGTGACTGTCACCCAGAAACGCCCTCACAGGCACAGCCAGCATCGTGCTTGGCAAATGTCTGGGTATCCCGTGGCCCAATCAGGTCAACACATAAAATCTACTCACACAGCATTCCAGAGCCCTGGGGTAACGTCCCCACCTGCGACCTGCTCCGTACAAGCAGGTTGTTTACTGGGCAGCCACAGAGTCAGACCAGGAGGACAAGCCCCAGGCAGGACGTAGCGTGAGGGTGGACCAGCCTGGAATGGGGGGGCCATCCCCGCGTCTGTGTGAGCCCCACAGGCTCTCTCCATGGGAGCTGGGGACAAGGGACGTCACAGATGGTGGAGGGCGGGCAGCAGTTGATAGCGGCCCAGGCCCTGTCTGCAGGCGGATGGAGAGAGCCTATGGAGAGCTGCGAGGGGGGAAGCCAAGCTGGGTCTGAGTGAGCGTATCTAGCGCTTGATATTCCCCCCAGTCAGAGCTTTGGGGGGAAAGACTCAACACGTTTCACTGTTGCCACTCATTTCTATTTGGTTCGAAAATGGTTGCCTATAGTTTCTCAGACAAACAGAGCTGACTTGGGAAGGACCTGTTTTCGCCCATTCTCCGTTGTCCTGTAGATTGGTGATTCGTATTTGTGTGGGTTATTTGGGGGGTTCTGGAACACAGGAAGTGAAGTAGGGGGCGGTGTTTGGGGGCAGATAGCAGAGATGCGGGCTGCAGGGCCTCACCAGGCCAAGTGTCTGCGAAAGGCGGCTCTGCCCACCTGGGCTTCAGCCGGCCCCCCCGTGTGGGACCCAGGCTCAGCTGCAGTGTGTTTCTGAAACTCCCAGCAAGGCCGAGGGTCCAGGCCTTCCCATGGTGCTCACCCCCTGCCCTTGGTTCTGATCTGGGCGGGGAGAGGGGGGTACTTGTCTCCCATGCCAGCAACTTCCTGTTTGCCAGCCGTGGGGATCCCGGCGGGAATTCCCAACACAAACAGCCGGCAAGGCCTGTTCCTGGGCTCTGTTTTGACAGAAATCAGAACGTTGTCTCCGGATCCATATGCGCGATGGCGTTTGCGTGTCACTGGCGGGAGCTTGGCTTCCGCAGGTTTTAACGAGGTTCTGATGTCCTCGTGCCGGGTGGGCTGGTTGCCGACATGATGAAACCCTGGCTGCCAGCCTGGCTGTGGCCCAGCCACACGCCTCTTGTCCTCTGTCCCTTCTAAGTTCCCTTTGGTGCTATGAAATGGGGCCATTTCACGGCTTTGGTTATCCACATATTCCCATCCATTGTCACCTATCCTCAGTGCAGCTCAGTGTAGAAATGACATCATAATCTCATGCTCTAAAAATGGAGAGTGAGGCTCTGGCTCTCGGCTCCCATCACAGGGCACTTACCTGTCCACGGGCCTTACTTCAGGGAAGATCCTCTTACTTAGACGTTAGGTGAAGATACCTAACACCACCCCCAAGCCTTCTCCAGCCCCTCCTAGATTAGAGCCTGTGGAGTTGGTCATGTCTGTGGCCCCTGGGCCCCCAGCCCTCACCACCTGTGACCCCAGCCCCCTGCTGTCACCGCTGCCACCCCAGGGCTGGCCCAGGCCCACCCTCCTTGTTAGAAGGAGCCTGAGCAGCTCCTTTCTAGCTTATTTCACATGAAAACAGAAAGTGTAATAAGGGAGAATTAATACCTAACAGAGGACCCTTTAATGAGAGGAAATGAAAACGGAAGAACCACGGGCAGCTAAGGCCCCTTCTGCACACAGCTTTGTGCGTGGGGCACACGGACTCATCTCTGTGGCCCCAGGACCTCCCGGGAGGGGCCCTTTGCATCCTGCGGGCGGAGGCTCAGAAGTGGTGCCTGGCTGGCAGCGAGTCACACAGTCTGCCCAGGTGCCAGCCCGTGGGGGTATTGCCCTCACCCATGCCCCCCCCCCGGTGGTGCTCCTTCAGGCCTTCCCTGCTGCACGTCACGCCACAAGGGCCCCGGATGTCCCACACTGAAATGAAGCTTTTGTCTGCTCTCGTTTTCAGAGGATGCAGCATGCTGGTTTCCATTTGAGCGATTTCCATTCCTGCTGAGCTTGGGCCCACAGCCCAGGGGCGCCTCCCAGCAGCGATGCAGCCGATGTCCACCTCTTGTGTGGGCCTCACACCGTGGTGGTCTGAGGTCATTGCTCTCAGTGCTGAAGTCGCAAGGGGTGCGAGTGTGCACGCACACGCACGTGTGTCCAACCGGAAGACCATGCACAGCATTTTAGCTCTTTGGGGCACTCAGAAGTTGACATGCTGGGCAGTTAGCTGTGCAGCCAGATGAGAATGTGACACACAACACTGTGTAGCAGAAAACAAACTGCATCCCCCAGAGGCTGGAGGCAGGGGTGACTGGCTGCCTGCACGCGTTAGGTTCGTTTTACATTTGTGTTGGAAGAAACATTGAACTCCGGTGCAAACGACAGTGGCAGCTGGACCAGGCTTGAGTCCCAAGGATGAAATCAGGAGAAGCTTATAGGATCAGACACAAGTCCTTTCCCTTGGTGGGTGCAGGGTTTTTGCTGGGCAACACACTTTTTATTCACACGCGTCCAAGAAGAACGCATCCTTCTGTTGTCATTAGAGCCATGCTCACTCAGTCACTTGGACAAGACAGGGGCCGCTTCCCTGCTTCTCTGCTGAGCCTCATGCTGGGGTTTGTGTCCCACGTCAGAAATCTCGTTCAATCATCCGTTCGTCATTTTGTCTCATTCTAACGACTGCATCCTCTTGGCACGTTTGTCGTCCTCAGGAGCAAATGGTAAACAATAGTCTTGCGTTAATAAAAGCTGCCCTGGAGTTAGGGGTGAACTCCAGCTCCAGGGGAGAGGGACTGTGTGACACAGGCCCAGAGTGCCCCGCGGTCCCAGGTTCTGCTGTGCTGGGGCTCTTGCCCTGTGTGCCCCAGCACAGGACCAGCAGCTGAGGCCACTCAGAATCTGAAGACACGCATTTGAAACCCGGACTGACAGCCCTGTTCCTTGGATTGTCACAGTTTTGCATGTTACACAGACATCTGGAGTAGTTCACGTGGCCTCCCCACCCGCTGGGACTCTGAAGCACAGCTTATAACTTGAAGTGCACCCTGTGAACGCGCGCCTGTGCTCACGGCGTTGTTACCACATGTGAAACGTATGTACATAGCAACAGGAAAATGGCTCGTGGTTGTTTGAAATGACATCCCAGGCACCAGCCTGCATTTGCCGCCCCCCACATTCCTGAAAGTGCACGCTTAGTCGCAATGCCCATTTTTTTCCTTTGGATAATCATTGTTTTTAGTTTCGTGTCATAGGTACCTGACTTTGCATCTGGTTACAGAATTCAGCATTTCTGGACTGGGATTTTGCCCAAGACAGGCAAATAGGAGCATTTGTCACTGATTCCTGCTGGGCCAGCGAGCATCCAAAGAAGTCACATATTTTAAATAAGTTGCATTCTCTAAATCCTAGAATATACCGTTTGTTCAAAACCAGTAGGAAGTCTGTGTAAATGCATCACTCCCCAATGGATCAAGCGGATGGACCTGAGATGTCGCCACAGGCTGTGTCTGTCACCAAGGTGCGGGCATAACACTCACCGAAACATCGATCATACTGTGTGGACGGCCCCACAAACAGCGTGGGCTCGTTTGTCTAAACCCGACACCCATGTGATCGCAGCTTCCTTGTTGACACTGGTGTGTGTGCCTCCGTCCCACGGTCTAGGGTGCCAGCCGCTGAAGGACTGTGCTCCTCCTTAAAGTGCCCTCCGTGCCAGGCCCAAGTGCCTTAATGGCTTGTGAACACCCACCCTGGAAGTCAGAAAGGAGAGGTACCAGGCATGGGCTCGAAGTATCATTACATGAACCTGCATTTCCATCGCCCCATCATCGAAACCTTCAGGTGGGCTGTGTGTTTTAACACAGTAATGGATTTACGTTTTGGCTCAGGAAATCAAGTTGTAAATATATGTATCAAATCATATATTTGTTTACTGTATATTTTTTAAAAGCTTTATTGTAAATTTATGCAACAACGAATCAGGACTTGTTTCCTCATGGTGACATGACAGCCAGTGTTTGCGCTCCCTGGAAAATCTCCTCAATAACCACCTTTTAAATGTGATGCTCTGTTCAGCGCTCCGCAGTGTTCACAGGCCTGCAGTGGGTTTGTATGGTGACCAACTACAAAGTTTTACACATATTTTTGTATCGTGATTCCTATGATATATACCAGAGAATTTTTACTCATTTGTAATTTATTGTACAGTTTTAATAAAACATTGTTATAAATCTTAAAATATCAGTGTTCTCCTCACAAGGTGTTGAAGTCCGGCTATGTCTGCGACCATGCTTGCAACCACTGTGGCTCTTTCCACACCAGGAAGGGAACCTGGGCCTTCTGCCCACTGGGGAGGGGCGGCAGGCCTCTCACCTGCAGCGTATCTCAAATCACAGCAAAGCAGCTGGAGGACAGGCTCAGAGGCACCCGGCAGCACCTGCTGGGGCGGCTACCAGGAGGCCTCCTCCCATAGTTGTTTATCAAGTGAGAATCAGGAGAGAAAATTCAAATAATTTAGAAAAGTGGAAGAATTTCTGAGCATGAGTAGGAACCCTTGGCAGCATACCTGCGTGCAGAGCATCTCACACAGGTGAGTGAAGGGAGTTTTACTGAGCACTTTGGGGGCAGGAACCAGGGGACCGAGGGGATGAGAGAGTCTCTGGTTGGACTCTGCCCAGGTGCTGATGCAGCGCAGGGCATTCAGCCATGTACCAGAGAGTCCTGCGGTGAGTGACTCTCGCCGTCTGAACTTATGCTTTGAAGTGAGGGCTGCGCTAAAAGAATGCAAAGGCTGGACCATCTTTTCCTTAAAAATCAATCTGCAGGGCGAGCTGAGAGTCCCCCTGCGTCATCTCACCCCAACACCTTGAACTCCGTGAAGCCGGCCAGGAGCAGTACGCCCAGGTGCACCCCCACCCTCCCGACTGGCCAAATGTTTCCAGTCAGAGCCTCCCACCTGGCGTGGGATCTCCCACGGGGGCTGGACACGCAGCTGGAATTCTGATAGACCGTGGTTTCCTCTGTGCGTCTCCTTGCTCGCCCTTCCAGCGGATCCAGCGAGCGGGAGGCGGAGACCCAGGCGCGCCGAGCATCCAGCAGCGCTTTTCTGGGACAGAACGGGCCAGGCCCGGAGGGTTCAGCACTCGCTGCGTGGACAGCGCCAGCTCCGGGTGGCGCACGCGGGCTGAGGGTGGGTTTGGGGCAGGGGCGGCAGAGTGCGTGGCTGGGGTCCGCCGGGTCCACTTTCAGCGCCCATATCCCGCCGCAGGAGGCTCCGGGAAACCGTTGCCCCTCGCCGGCTCCTGCCACGGGGGACTGGACTCAGGGAGCCCCCGGGCCCAGCTCAAGCCTGAGAACAAGACGCTGCAGCTGGACGCGCTGGGCGGCAGCCTCAGGGGCCCTTGGGCTGGAGAGCCCTACAGCGGGCCAGGCAGCCACCGGGGTGGGGGGGACCCAGAGAGCCAAGCAGAGACCTCCAGGAGGCCGCCGCAGGTGTCCGGGAGCGACCCAGAGCGGCCCAGGCCCGCTGCCCACAGCAGGTAGTGGCCACAGACAAGAGGTCACAGCCGGCGGGGCGGGGCGGGGCGACGCGGGCCCGGGACACCCGAGATTCACACCCCCACGTGGAGAGGGCGCCCGAGAGTGGGCTGAGGGCGCATCCTCTTCCGAAGCCCCCAGCTCCTCCGAGGGGACTCACGCGCTTGCGGTGGGGCGTCTCTGCACCTGATCGGTCGCGTCTGCCTCTGGGACTCCTCTCTCCTGCGTTAAGAACCCCCTACACCCCAACCCCTGGCCGCGTAGACCTCTCCGGCCCTGGATCCAAGACTGGTCTGTCCCGGGCCCTGGGCAGCCGTGCCTTTCTCCGTGTCTCGGTCTCCCTGTCTGTCCGTCTCTCTCTGTGTGTCTCTCCAACTTGTCCCCTCCCTCCTGCCCCAAGCTTCGCGCGGCGGCGGCGGAGCAGCCTTGCGGGGCGGTGTCTCCACCACCGGGTTCCGGGGCCGGCGCGCGATCAGGCGTGCAGATCCCGGCTGGGCTTTCTCGACGGAGCTGGGCTTTGGCCGGAGACACCTTCCTGGACGAGTCGGGCTCCCGGAGCGCCTGGGCCTGGACGTTGAGATTGGGCTCCCTCCCCGCGGCTTTGGACGCCTCGGGTCACCAGGGAGCTGACAGTGGGCCCTTGGCTGGCCTGGCAAGACATTGCCTGGCCTCTTCCACCCTCCTGGCCGGGGCGCAGACGCCACACACACGCTGGTCAGGACAGTTGCTACCTCCTCCCGCTCCGAGCCCAGCGCGTCCACCGGTCCACATGGCCGGGCCTGGGGCGGGGAGTTGAGGCCGCGGCGGCGGGGCGGGGCCTGAGCTCGCGGGGGCGGGGCTTGAAACGAACAAGCAGCCTGAGGGGGCGGGACCTGAGCTCGCGGGGCGGGGCTTGAGGCGAAGCGGCAGCCGCGGGCCGGGGGCGGGG